GCACGTGCGTATGCATGTATGTATGCATGCATGCATGCATGTCTGTCTGTCCGTTCGTCCGTCTGCCTGCCTGCCTGCCTGTCTGCCTGCCTGCCTGTCTGTCTGTCTGTCTGCCTGTCTGTCTGTCTGTCTGTATGCATGTGTGTGTGTGTGTGCCCACCTTGGGACGAGGCGTCGGCGAGTGGGGCCAAGGCCGCGCCAGTTGGGATCGGGTTCGGCTCAACGGCTCTCAGGTGTCGCTGTGGGAGCTGTGGGAGAGCCACGGGCTGCCTCCGCCGCTCCGCCGCCGGGAGCGGTACGCGGCCGCCTCTGGGCGCGCCGTGGCCAGGCTGCGCGAGCCGTCCGCGGACGACCTGCGGCCCTTCGTGTGCGGCAACCTGCCCTTGGAGCCGGCGGGGGGTCTGAGGTGGCACAGCCCTGGTTCCGGCCAGCAGGAGGAAGGGGCAGATTCGAGGTGCTCGGTTCGAGAGGGGTTCTGGACTCGTCGGGCGGGACCGTCACAGACGGATCGAGGGTGCAAAACGTCACCAGGTGGGCCCCGGAAGGGGTCTGGCGACCGATTTTGGCCAGATTTGCCTTCCCCCCCCCGCCTTGACCGTATTTCTCGGGGCCCAACCAGCTCAGACCCCCGGCCGCCTCCAGGCCTGCCCGTCGTCATGGAGGGGGCGCTCCGCGGGGAGCGCTTCAGGCCTCTGCGCGACTTCGCGGACTTCGCGTACCTGCGGTCGCGCTGCGGCGGCCGGACGGTGACCCTGAAGGCGGACGCCGTGAAGGACGAGGCTGGCCGCACGGTCTTTCTGGACGACCCCAGCATGCGCGCGCCGTTCTCGGACTACCTCCTGCTGCTGGAGCGGGCGGAGGCCATTGGAGAGCCGCCCCCGTGCTACATGGGCAAGAGCCAGCTGGAGGACGTGCTGCCAGAGCTTGCCGCAGACGTCGCCTGGGCCGCGCCGCACGGGCCTGCCGGTCTCTTCGGCGGCCTGTTTGGAGAGCTGACCAGCCGGGGCGTGCACATGTACCTCTAGGGGAACGAAGAATGACACAACATAACGACTCGGAGGTCCGCGCGGATTTCTCCGGCGGACCTCTGGCGGCGCCTGGGGCGCCGCCTCTGGCGCTGCCCCTGGCGCGCTCCGCGCGCCAGGGAGGGGGGTCCAGCGCAGATCCGCGAAATCCGCGCGGACCTCCGAGTTCTCATGCTTCTGCCATTTTTGCTGGTTCCCCTGACCTCGGGGCGGGCGGCAACACCACCCCCGTGCACTGCGACCCGGGCGAGAACCTGCTGCTGGTCGTGTCCGGCACCAAGCGCCTCTTCCTGTGGCCGCCCACGGACGCGGACTGCCTGTACACGGTGGGCCAGACGAACTCGGCGGTGCCGCCGTTCGTGGCTCCCTGCGCGATGCCACCGGAGATGGCGTCCAGGTGCCCGCTGTACCGCCACACGGAGCCGCTTGAGGTGGAGCTCAGGCAGGGGGACCTGCTGTATCTGCCGATCTTCTGGTGGCACTGCGTCTCGGGGGGCCGAGAGCGCAACATGATCCTGAACTGGTGGTTCGACGTGCACCGCGACAAGAGGTCAGCAGACGCGGCAGATTCTCCCGCGTCAGAAGTCATGGCCTACTTTCGGCGGGAGGTGCAAGGCGACGGCGGCGCCCGGCAAAAGTTCGTCGTCCCTCCTGTCTCGCTCAACTGTCGGGGGCAGCAAAGAGGGGGGTGATGACTAGGGGGGGTGGATATCATGGCGTGGGCCAGGATATTTCCACAGATTTCATGGCGCCTCTTCTCATTACATTACGTCCTTGCCTCCCCCCCCTGGGCCGCGCACATCCCTCCAACCATGATTTGCACCCCCCCCCCCTCTTGGACGCCCCCCTTCTGGCCGCCCCCGAAACTGGGCATTCTGCCAGCCCCATCCCTTTGGGCGCCCTGCCTGTCGTGTGCTGCCTGCTCTCCCCTCTCCCTCGGCGTGCACGGCGCTGCACTCGGGCAGGACAGGCCACGCGGGAAGCGCCGCTCCCAGCCTCCTCCCGTCTCCTCCGCCTGCCCGCCTGCCGCCCTCCCGCCTCGCTCCTCGCTCGCCTCTCCGCCCTTCGCCCCTCGTCTGCCCGACGTCGGGCCTCAGGGCTCCTGCCCTGCCCTGCCTCCCTCCCTCCCTCCGCTCTCCCTCTCCCCCCTGCCCCGTGCCTGTGGGCGCGGCGCCGACGCCGCCCCGCCGATGGCACCAGGGCCAGGAGGAGGGAGGAGAAGGGAGGAGGACGCGGGAGGGAGGGAGGGAGCGGGAGGGAGGGAGGGAGGGAGGGAGGGAGGCCGGCGTCCTCCGCACGCAGGCACGAGAGAGCTCGTTCGCACGCCTCCCTCGACTCGGGGGGAGGATGGGGGGGCGTTTCGCGTTTGGCAGTGCGAGTTCGTGACGGGACAGCAATAGAGCACGTGAAGGTGAGGCTGTGGACCTTCACACCGCGGAAGACACACTGCTGCCTGGAGGAGGGAGGAGGGAGGGAGGGAGGGGACCGAGGAGGGGAGGGAGGGAGGGCGGGAGGGAGGGAGGGAGGATAGATGTGGTGGGTGGCAATTGGTGCCTGGAATGGTGGGTGGTGGCACGAATGCCTTGAGATGGAGGTACGGGTCACCCCCCCACCGGCCGTCTTCGTTGGCCTAGGGACCGTAGGGGGGTCCTCGGCCCCCTCCGGTGCCTACTGACGGCAAATGGAAGGTTGATTGGTGGGAGCGGGAACCCTCGCAACCCCATTGATGGAAGCTGCGAGGGGTGTGAGGCCTAATGACGGTCCTCACCGATGAGGCCTAATGACGGTCCTCGCCGAGGGGAGGGGCGAGAGGGAGGGGGGCCACTCCGAGTGTCGATGCCGCCCGCGATGCCTCTCACTCCTGAGGTGGGATTCCTGCAAATGGGGGCCCGCAAACCAGCATACACAGTTTCGACTCCGAGACTGTGTATACGCCACCCCCCCTAGAACCTCCAGGACTAACTTTTCACTACACCGACGGACCAGTTTCCTGTCGGTTCCCCGGCGTTGCGTTTCAGCATCCGATGGTGGCTAACCCAGAGGAGCCCGACGCAACGAAACTGTCACGAAATTCGGCTCCCGAATAAGCCGCAACCAAAATGCACGGAAGGACCGGTACACCGAAAATCATGTCCCCGGCAGCCTCTCCGGGAATGAGGGAGGGAGGATTGGGGAGGGAGGGAGGGAGGAAGGGAGGGAGGGAGGGAGGGAGGGAGGAGGAGGAGGAGGAGGAGGAGGAGGAGGAGGAGGAGGAGGAGGAGGAGGAGGAGGAGGATGGGGCAGGGGGAGTGTGCGAGAATGGGGATCTGCGGCTTGAGCTGCGGCCCCTGTGGTGCCTCTCACCAGTGGGGTGGGGTTATGTCGCCCTGGGGGAACGTTTTTGGGCCTTCCCGATTTGACTCGCAATACAGGGTGGTGCTGGAAGTGCCCCTGGCCCCTGGTGCCCCCAGGATGTCCCAGGAGGCCCCCACGGCCTCCAAGCCACCCCTCACGAGGCCCAGGGGGCCCCAGGGGCTCCAAAGTGGAGCGAAAAGCTGAGGGCACCTCTGTCCAGGGGCACCCTCAGCACCCTCGGATAATAGTGTTGGCTCCGACTTTGCCCTGGTCGACTACATGGCAGACGAACGAACGTGGCATCAGCTTGCAAAACATCTGCCCTTGCTGGCCGCGCCGCGCACTGACCTGCTTTTGGCCTGGTATTCTGATGTTCCAGCCTACTTGAGCCTTGACCACCAGAAAGAATTTCGAGCACCAGAAAAGTACCCAACAACTCAAGGGTGTTCACGTCCCTGGGAGACACTCGTCCGACACTGTTTCGACACTCTTTCGACACCCTTTCGATACTTTTTCGGGTGCTCGAAATCATTTCTGGGATGTGGTCCTTATGTACGATGGGAGCAACATATGCCTGGCAGTGAATGGTTTCAGCTGCCCACGCGCCGAAAGGCTTACTGGCTTTTCTCTTGCTCGCTTGCTCGGTGGATTGAAGTCTGGACCGGTGTGTAGAGCTTCGGCGGATGTGGGAGGCAGGGCGTCCGTCGGCACCCTGCCCGACCGGAAGACCTGGTGCCCATGGGGTCCCAGGAGTCGGCGAGCTGGAGTGGGGATGGCCTCCGGATTCCCTCGGATCTCTTTGGAGGTGATGGGGGGCTTCCCGAAGGTTTCCAGAGGCCTCATTGGATGCTCCTGGGGTGCCGATCTTCGATCCTCGAGGATCGAGTGGTACAGCTGCATGATTAAGGAACAGCCCATCGCAAGGAGGAACATGTGGAGGAGGAGGAGGAGGAGGAGGAGGAGGAGGAGGAAGAGGAGGAGGACGAGGGAGGAGTTTTTCCAAGGTCTTCGCTGCGAATCTCTTCCTTCAAACCCTCACGAAGCTTTCCTCACCAGGGTCTATTCATTCTCTTGATCCGGTCGGTCCGATTTGATGTTGATTTTGGTCGGCTTGATTTGATTTGATTTAGGTATTTTGGTGATCGGTGGTGTGCGTCCTGGCGCTGTTGATCCGATCCGAGTCCAATTCTGTGCCGATGCGGGCCTGATTAAACGCGCATTCCGATACTTTCCGACTCACTGATTCAATGCTGTGTGATGTTACAGTCGAGATACTGATGTTATGACCACTTTGGGCTCAGGAGGGGCTCTGGTTTTCGTGACCAGGCTCCCCCACGTGGCCAGAAAGGCTTCTCCGTTCTGTACTCAGCGCTGTTCATGGTAGAACGATGGCTGTACGGCGAGGGGAGGGGGATGACCTCTTCTGCATGCACGACAAGGACGAGGAGAGGAGGACGAGCACGATGAGGAGGGGAGGTAGACGACGAGGGGAGGAGGAGAAGGACGATGACGAGGAGGGCACAGGTGGAGCAGCAGGACGACGACGATTACGACGAGGAGAAGGAGGAGAAGGAAATGGAGGAGGAGCATGAGGAGGATGGAAGAGGACTCTTGCCTTATTGCTCTTCCTCCCGCCCCGAGGTCTACGGCTTCTCCGCGGGCGAGAGCGCTGAGGTGTGGAGCAACACCAGGGGCGAGTGGCTGCCCTGCCTAATTCAGGTTCTTCTCGTGGGATGAGCGATGACGGTGATGATGGTAATGATGTTGTCGCTGCTGACGATTCTGATGCTTATTCTAATGATGGCGATGATGGTGATGCTGATGCTGCTGATGATGCTGCTGATGAGGATTGTGATGCTGATGTTGTGGATGACGCTGATGCTGATACTCAGGCTGATGCGATGATGATGATAATGATGATGAAGATGATGATAATGATGACGACGATGGTGATGCTGATGGCGCTGCTGGTGCTGCTCTGCCCATGATGATGATGCTGGTGGTGTCGATGATGATGCTGATGATGGTGATGATAGTGCTGGTGATTACGATGATACTGGTATTGGTGTTGCTGCCCACGACGACGATGACGATGATTATGCAGATGACGATGATGACGATAATGATGATGATTAAGATGCTGATGCTGATGATGATTATGATGACGCTGATGCTGCTTATGATGATGATGATGATGATGATGATGATGATGATGATGATGATGATGATGACGATGATCATGATGATGATGATGATGATCGCGATGATGATGCTGAGGATGATGAGGATGCTGACGCTGATGATGCTGATGATGATGTCCGTGCTGCCGACGCTGTTACTTCTGATGATGGTGCTGATGAGGATGACGATGAGGATGATGATGCTGATGACGATGATGATGATGATGATGATGATGATGATGATGCTGATGATGTTTATGATGATGTCGATGATGCGGATGATGCTGATGATGATGATTGCGATGATGATGCTGATGATGATGACGATGCTGGTTATGATGAGTCTGATGCTGTTGCTGTTGCTGCTGATGATGATGCTGATGATGATGAGGATGGTGATGATGATGCTGATGATGCTGATGATGATGATGATGATGCTGATGCTGCCGATGATGCTGATGCGGATGCTGATGCTGACGATGATACGATGCTGATGGTGGTGGTTTTGATGATGCCGCTGTTGCTGATGATGGCGATGCTGATGATGATACCGATGACGATGATGCAGGTGATGATGCTGCTGCTGATGATGCTGATACTGCTACTGATGATGGTGATGGTGCTGCTGATGCTGATGCTTATGCTGGTGTTGCTGCTGATGCTGATGTTGCTCTTGCTGATGATGCTGATGTTGCTGATACTTGTTCTGATGATGCTGCTGATGATGGTGCTGATGATGGTGGTGATGGTGATGAAAAGGATGAAGATGATGATGCTGCTGCTGCTGATGATGATGATGATGATGATGATGCGGAGGATCATGATGATGACGATGCTGACGATGATGACGATGGTGATGATGATGATCATGATGATGCTGGTGATGCTGATGATGATGCTGATGCTGATGATGCAGATGATGATGATGATGATGATGATGATGATGATGACGATGATGATGATGATGATGATGATGATGATGATGATGATGATGATGATGATGATGATGCTGATAATTGCTGATCATGATGATAATGATGCTGATGATGCTGCTGCTGATGATGACCGCGCTGATTTGGATGTTGATCCTGAGCGTGAGGGTGATGGTTGTGATGCTGACGGGGATGGTGAACAGGCGGACCAGCATCGGGATGACAATAAACGGGGATGATGCTGATACGGTTGTTGATGCAGATGAGGCTATGAGGCTGCCGCTGCGGATGATGCTTGGGCTGTTGTGCTCGTGATGACGGCGTTCGCGAAGACGACGGTGATGCTGATTATGATGATGGTTGGGATGGTGATGTCGATGCAGATGCTGACATTGTGGTGATGGTGGGGTGGAAAAGAAGGAGGCAGGAGGACGGAGGTCGGAGGTCGGAGGGAGGGAGGGAGGAAGGATGGAGATGGAGGGAGGGCGGGAAGGGGGAAGAGGAGGAGGAGGAGGAGGAGGAGGAGGAGGAGGAGGAGGAGGAGGAGGAGGAGGAGGAGGGGACGGGTCAGGGGCCGGCCGGTGGAGGGAACCCAGGAGGGGGGAGGAGCAGGAGCAGGAGGAGGAGGAGGAGGCGGAGGAGGGGGAGAGAGGGAGGGAGGGAATGAGGGAGCAGGAGGAGGAGGCCCAGTGTACACCCAAGACTCATCAAAGGTGTTTGTGCATACCCTCCCTCCAAGCTCCCTTTTCATAGGCCCCTACACGACACGGATTCATGTCCACTGGAGGAAATGCCCCGGTGGGAGACAATTGTTTGAAGATTTCGAATCGCACCGAGCACCATTCTCAAGACTCCAACGCCAGGTTCAATCGGACTGTTGCGTTTTGACGACCCTGAATCGTGCCAGAACACCGTTCCTGGAACTTCGACGCTGCGTCTCAATGTACTTGTTGCGCCCTGACAGTCCTGAATCGTTCCACGACGCTTGTTGTTGTACGTTAACCATGGGAGCCCTTGAAACTCTTTCTTGCAAATGGTTAAACCGAATGTGCGTGGAGTTAAGGTCAGAGCCACATTTAGAACATCACCGGCCCTCAACATCTGCTGTTTCAGATGTTTACAACGAATGTGCGCGGCGCTTAGGCGAGAGCCACATTTTTAGAATTACCCGCCCTCAATCCGTATGTTTGCGGCGCTAAGGCGAGAACCACATTTTGGAAACCACCCGCCCTCAATATTTGAAGCTCTTTCATTTATTGTTTAACGAATGTGCGCGGCGCTGAGGCAAGAGCCACATCTTGAGAGCCACCCGCCCTCCGTTTGTGAAGTTGTTGCCAATTCTTAAGCTTCAGGATCATACATGGTACCGAAGTCTCAGGCGAAATGCCCAGCCTGCCCTTCGACCGGCCTCGGAGTCAGGCAGGGAGGAGTTGTTTATGAGGAAAAGGAATGGAGGAGGAGGAAGAGGAGGAAGAGAAGGAGGAGGAAGAGGAGTAGGAGGGGGAGGAGGAATGGAGGGAGGGAGGGAGTGACCAGGAAGAGGATGAGGCGGTGGAGGAGGAGGAGGCGGTGGAGGAGGAGGAGGAGGAGGAGGAGGAGGAGGAAAAGGAAGGCCCAAGTTGCCGCAGCCACTGCCCTGCTAGGCCTTCCTCCTCACTCGCCGTTCTTCTTTTCCGCGTTTTGCTCCCCCTTCCCTCCGCCATGGATGTCGACGTGGATCTGGCGGTGGGAGGGGCTCAGGACGACGACGACAATGTGCACGAGGTTGACGTGATCATGCAGGAGGCGGACGGGGCAGCTGCGGTCGCTTCCCCGGGACCAGCCCAAGTTGGCGGTGCACCTGGCGCCGCTGCTGCCCCTGGAAGCGCCGCTGGCGCTGCTGCTGCTGCTGCTGCTGCTGCTGCTGCTGCTGCTGCTGCTATGCTGCCCGCCGCCGTCGGAGAACGTCCCCCTCGGGTGCGGGCCTGAGTGGCCAGCCATCAGCTCCCCCAGAAGCATGTGGCGGCTTGCTGCGTTGTTGCGCGGCGCTCCCAGAAGAGGGGCGCGTAGAGATTTCGCCTGCATGGCGCCAGCCCCTGGGGCGGCCCTGCCAGAGGCGGCCGACGCGCCTGTCGACGACGTGCAACCGCCGCGTGTGCAGGCAGCGGGGGCCCGTGAATTCCCCAGCTTGGGTGGTGGGCCGGGTTCGACCTGGGTGGTGCCGTGCGGGAGCCATTCCCCGTGTGGATCGACGCCTCCGGCCTTCGTCGCGGCAGTCACGGACGTGCCTGCTGCGGCGCTTCGCGTGGTCGCGGGGGACCCCGGAAGGGAATCGGTGTTGGCCCGCCTGCTCGTGTTCCCTAGGCTGCTGTTCGCGGTGTCGCCCACCATAGGCAACGACGAGAAACCGACTGCCGCTCAAGAGCTTGGCTCTGTCAGGCTTGGGCGGGCGATTGGGCGACTGGGCATCCATGTGGGCCGCGTCGGCGCGACCCGGGGATCCGCCCGCCAGGGGTGATCGCCGTGCGCAGCGCCGGCCAGAGATTCGGGCAGGCCCGGCGAGTGCATGAGCTCATCGTGCTCGGCGGCGGCCGCAGGTCCCAGTAAACTGGCGGAGGGCCCAGGAGCGGCCCGCGACCTGGCTGCCCTGCTTCCTGGTGCGACGTCCGCCGCGCGGTCGCCCGTGCCGCGCCCTGCTCCGCTGCCGTGCCCTGGGAAGCCGAGGCGGCCGATGAGGCGGCGGGCCACCTCGGGAAGTTTCCGCGCCACTTGGACCCAGGCTTGTTTGGCGTTCGCTTCGAGCACTTGGCGGCCTTTTTTGGGCGCGCAGAGGGGAAGCAGGCGCCGGCGCAGGTCTTGGCCCTCATCCTCGAAGGCCGGGAACCGCAGCAAACTTTGCAGGCCATCCTCGCCCGGCGGCTGCTGCCGCTGCTGAAGCTGGGTGGGGGCGTGCGGCCATTCGCCTGCGGCGAGATGCCGCGCAGGATGGGGCCAAAGCGGCCACGGAGGCGCACGAGATGGCCATCGCCACGGCGGTGGGGCCCCGCCAGTTCGAAGTGGGCGGCAGAGCGGCATCGAGCTGATGCACCGCATCGCTGCGGCCACGCTGGAGAAGGAGGCGGGCGCCGCGGTGCTTTCGCTGCGAGTGGCCAGCGCGTTCAACGAGCTGTGCCAGGACACTCTGCTGCGGGAGGTTTCCGGCTTAATCCCCGAGCTCGCGCGGGTGGCAGCTACGTGGGGCAGACGGGCCACGACGCACATGGCCCACCTGGTTGGGAACTGGGCGGCGCCAGTCTGGGCAGAGCGCGGAGTGGAGCAGGGGTGCCCCCTCTCCCTGGCGCTCTTCGCGGAGGCTATTCGAGGACCTGGAGGCCGCGGCCCGCCGCGCAGACCCCGCGGCCAAGCTCGTGGCCTGCTTCGACGACGTTTACGTGGTGGGCAGCTGGCGCGCTGGCGGCCGCGGTCGCCGCGGCGCCAGCCCCCTTCGCGGCGGTGGGCCTCCGCTTGAGGGATGGGAAGACAGAGATCTGGAACCCCCGCGGCGTGGCCCTCCCCGAGACGCTTGCCAGGGCGGCGGCGCCCGAAGTCACGCGCGTGGGGGGCGCCTTGCCTTGCGTGCGCGG